TTCCAAGCACAGGAAAGTGTCCAGTGAGACCAACAGGGAAAACTGTCCCCAACAGCAGCAGGGACTTCATCGTCTCAGGTCTTGAGTTCCATAACTGGAGGTGGACGGAACAGGAGCTGGCCTCATGCTTCAGGTCAGAAGCCTGTGCTCACTGAACGCCACCGTGAGTCCAGTGTCCTAGCTGTGTTTGTCTTCTGTACCTTTAAGGGCTTCATGTGGCAGCTGGGGACAACTGAAGGATTGCACTTGAAGTCACAACACTGGGATCCTTTTGCTGCTTCTATCTGCCGTGGGAGGAAAGATGTGCTCTTCTGGTCTCAGATGCAGGAGGTGAAGGACTTCCAACTCTTCTGGAAGCTCTTCTCACATAAGAAGCAAAGGGTTCGCACAAGGGGCCCAAGCTGCTGTCTCGTTGTTGCTCTGCCCTCAACCTCTGAGTCCTGTCCACCAGGTGCAGAGCACTCGGCTACCTGCAGCTCTGTCCCCAGCCTGCGGCTCTTCCCTGGCCCTGAGACCAGCAGGCATCAGAGGCCACGCACTGGGGAGGGCCTGTGGGTCTCCTTAACCCTTTCCGAATGCTGACTCAGTTTGCTGAGATACAGGAACTCCGACTCCGTGGACCTCCAGGGCAGCTTAAGGGTGCCCACGAGGACCTGAGGTACCACCTCACTCCCCTCCCGTGGTCTCCCCTGCGGCAGCATCTTCTCAATCTATGCTGCAGGTGGGAGGAGGTCCCTCAAGAACCTAAAAGGACAGCACCCGGCCCAGTGCCACCAGGTACCCCAGGATGTGCAAGTGCCCAAGTGTGTTCCTGACAGGTGGGTGTTTTGTCCTGATGGTCCACATAGTATTTATTGTCTCAGTGAATGTTCTTTTTCCCCTTCACCTAACATGGGAAAAAAGAAAAACAAACAGAATCGTCTATATTATGGTTGGCAAAGATAAAAGCTTGGGCTCTGTTCTTCTACTAGGATAATTATCGCAGAGCAAACCGGTGAGCTTTTCCTGTCACACGTCGACACTAATGGCATGCTTTGCTTGACGGAGATGACACTGACATTCATTTCCACGGTCTCCACATCTTCAACAGCCAGATCTCTGGGGCCTCTGCACTGAAGACGGAACTCTGCAGGGAACTCAGTCCCTCGGTCCCCAGTTGAGAACCATGTAAATCGCCTTCCCTGGAGGGCAGTGCCCCGCCACCTCTGAGCATCAGGGACGAGCTCTTGGGGTGACGGCTCCTGCTACGTCCCTCCTAGGTCTTCAAGACGGTTCGAGGGGAGGCCGGTGGCTGGAAGGTCCTTCGGTGTGGCTCGAGCTGCAGTGAGAACCCTGAGGGTGCCCACAGAGCCCACCAGGACCCAGCCGAGGGGACTCTCTAGACGGCTGGTCTGGTACACCTTGCAGATGAAGTGGCACCAGGTGAAAGGTCACAGAAGGTCCTGGCTTTCTATCCCCAGTCACATCACCTTCTTCCAGGCTGTCCTCAGAGGCTGTAGAGCCACCGCCGGGAAGGAGACCTGGGAGCCCAGGGGAGCAAGGCCACCCACAGACAGGTGTTCCCTTAGGAAGGGAAGAGTTGGAGGAACTAAAAGAGAGTTCTCCCAGGAACATCGCCTTGTAACTGCAGATATTTAAGGCTGATTGGGATCTTATTCTCAGAGAAAATACATGAGCCAAAGAGTTTAGAAAACTTTTTCCAAAAAAGGAAGACTCAGTGCCATTTTTGGGTGGAAAAGACAGTACCTTCACGGGTAAGTTATGGCTGATCCGCTGGATGTGGTCAAGGCCATTAAAACACGTCTTTAATCCAGTAGTGTCTTTCCTTCTCCCTGTTCACTCAACTATTCACTCAAGGGACGTGTCAGAAGGGAACGTGTGCACGTGGGGACACCCGCGCGAGCAGAGGCAAAGGGTGTCTGAGGGCTGGCCCAGGCAGGGGACCATGACAGGCCCGTGGTGGAAGGACAGGCAGCTCGGGGCCAGCTGAGGGGAGCCCCAGTGCTGCACCCAGGGCTGGAGCTTGCGTAGGTAGCCGCTGAGGACCACTGATGATTTCTGAGCACGGACAGACAGGGAGACGAGGAGACAGCAGCCAGGGTGACGAGGAACTCATGGCAACGTCTGGTTGATGAACCATCCCGAGCACCAGGAGGGTGTCAGGAGCCGGGGAGACGGCGGCGCTGGGCAATGTGGGAGCTCGTCCGTCCAGGGCTGGGAGGGGTCTCCCTCCAGGACCCTCTTTCAGGCCACGCGCTGCGCTGTCACGCAAGCACTCTAGCACCAGGGGGGTGACACCGCCCCAGCCCCTTAGGAAGGGTCTGTGGGTCTCGGACTCCACACCAGGAAGAGGTGGTGGCCATGAGTCTTGCTCCTGCTGCGAACCTGCCTCCACAGGCATGAGGTCGGCGAGTGAGTCAGGTGCCACGTGTGCCGCTCGGCATCACGGGTGCCCAGGGAGCTCTGCGCACCCTGCTGCTTGCTCCCTTGTGTCCCACAGCAGCCCCAGGTCCCTGGCACCACGGGCTCCATGTGCTGGGCAAGGCCAGATGCCGGGTGTGCATGGAGCTGGCACCCAGTGCCCCCCAAGTCTCCTGCAAGGCCTTTGACGCTGCACCTGGTCAGCCTGGGTGCTGGCCGGAGGCAGAGGTCTGCACCCCTCAGGACCTACACGGACACTCCTGGGAGAAGACATGGTGCCGCAGAGACCTAGCCAGGGCAGCAGGCAAAGGCTGCCCAGAAAGTGTCCTCCACCCAACGAGGCACAGCCAGGAAATCCCACCACTGCTGAGGGCTGAGGGCTGTTCATCTTTAACTTTTTAATATTTTATTTATATTTCTTGTCTCAAACATTTCATTCCTGTCCTTGTCTCTTCATGCCCCCTGTCTCTCTCTCTGTGTGGCCCTACTCTGTGCCTGCACGTCTCACCTCCAATGCCACCATCTAAACAGGCACTCACTGTAGCAGGCTCGGCCTCCTACAGGAGGTACAAGTTGAGACTGACTCCCCAGGAGCCTTTCAGACCAGGACCAGCCTTTGATTCACTTACTTGTATAGTAAAGACCCAGAAATAAAATAACCATGATTCATGGGAAAAAATTAATGCAAAAGAGAGTCTTTCAAGTGGCATTTTTAAGCCAGTTTTTGTGGCCAGCTTGTGTCATCGGACATGATCATCTGCATATGTGTGGCTACAGGGCTTCAGAAATGATTCCCAGCCCCTGGATGACGTCAGAAGGTCAAGGGTGGGTGGAGCCTGAGAGCTGCTGGGCAGGAGGAAAGACGCAGCCCAGACCCCCAGCCCAGACCCCCAGCCGTTTCCTGCCTCCGTGGGCATTGGCCGCCCATTTCCCACTGTGCTGTGGCTTGCATCTGCTCTCCTTCCTCTTCCATGGAAGCACAGAGCTGGGCTCTCTGTGAAGTCTGTCTTACACCTCCAGGCGACACACAGAGGCACGTGTGCTGAAAGCCACACGTGCACCCTGTGACCTCAGCCTGGAACCCACTTCAAGGACACACCTCCCCAGTGTGGCTTCTCCAGGGCTGCTAAGCGGCTCCTCAGCACCCAGCCGTCAAGCCGTGAAGACACCCAGAATCGCCAGCTGAGTGCAAGGGGAAGGAGCCCTGTCCTGGGAGCGTGGCATATGTCCAAGGGGGCTGCCGACACCTCCCTGCTCCCCAAGATGGACAGACACCATAGACTCAGAAAGGAGTCTGCCTGAGGAAGTGCACTGTCCGGACTTCCTGACTGTGAGTGGCCTGAAGAGTCACCAGGACGGCCCCAGTCTGGGGACGGCCCCCTTCCTGAGTGTCCTCACCAAGCCTTTAGCCAGTGACACTCCCGTTCTCAAGGATGGGGACTCTCCATCTCAGGTAGCCAATGCCCTTTGGAGAACTGAAGCGGTTCTCCGTGACCCCATGCTACCCCTTGAGATCTGCCCCCATCTCGGGTGGCCGCAGGGTCAACCCTTATGTTCCAGCCACCTCTGAGGAGAGTCGTGTTTCTCCCACGAGCTCAGCCCGTGGAAGGTGGCCTTCTGGGGCTCCTCAGCTGGGCTGCAGCCACCTCTGACTTGACGGAAGTGGACTCAGAGGGGCCAGGCCGCCCTGCTGCCGACATCCCTCCTCCGTCCAGGCCGCTCGGTCTTGCTAACCAGCCACGCCCACCGCCCCTCATTTGCTGTAAGCAGAGCGACAGAAACCAGCAGCGTGCGGGATCCCACGGGTGAGCCCCGCATCCCCCAGGAGCTCCGGGCCGGTGGTGCTGTGGCAGCCTGCGGCCTCCAGGAGCTCACTCATGGCCCTACCTGGGAGCGGCCTCCTCTCCAGGCAGCCCTTGTCCTGGCCTGCTGTCACCACTGCTGAGACAGTGGACGGCTGATCTGGGAAATCAAGTTGGACTGCTGTCCCAGCCCTGCACTGGGCTCCCCTGGTCTGTCTGATCGATTTCACTCTGAGCGACACAGCTTGTCGCTATGAATTTTCATGCTAGTCAGCAGCCGCCAGGGCACCCAGGACCAAGGAGAAGGCGCTCCGTGCCCTCCGTCCCTCAGACACACCCAGCCTCCGCGCTGGGCTGCTGCAATCATCGACCGACAGATTGGGAAGGGTTCTTGTTTTGGCCACAGAACGGGACACAGGGGATCTGGCTGCTAGTTTTCTTCTCCTGTCCCCGCCCCAGCTCCCGGTGACATTTCCTACCACAGCTTTGCGGGGTGTCACCTGTTCAGCAGCTCCTCTCGGCTGGATGCATGTGGCCGCAGGTGTCATGCAAACACTGATTGTGTCTGACAGCCCCGTGCCAGCTGCCTGCATGACGTGCGCCAACCGCCACGCTCTGTGGGTACAATGCTGCCCACGGCGCAGCCGACGCAGCACAAGAACGAGGCGACCGCCAAGCTCAGGCGAGTCCTACTAAGTGGCACCCTGGCCCTGTGGCCTTGAAGTAATTGGTAGTGATAGAATGGAAACAAAGGGTGGGGGGACCTTGTTTTCTTACACTGATGCCCTGCGGACTGTACATCTGACTGGCTGCGAGTCCGTCACTGTATCCTCCTGTCTGGCTGATAACATGGCGAAGGGTATCCACCTAGACAGAGGAACAACACAGGAAGTTAGTCAGAGACACAGGCCGGCGCGTCGTCCTCTCCCAGGTCGCCAAGGAGCGCGGTGGCTCCGGGCGTGCTCTTGGTAAGAGTCTGTGAGGAGGAGGTGGGCAGTTCTCCGAAGGCCAGATCCTTGACCAGGCTGCGTTCAGTGAGCAAAACAGCAAGATGGTGAGAGGAGGGGGCCCGAGACCGACCCTGGGTGCCGGGCAGGCTGGCAGGGGTGGCCGAGGTGGCAGGGGTGGCCGAGGTGGCAGGGGAGGGTGGGTGCTCTGCCTCCCTGCGCTCCGCAGTGAGCACACTTTGCGGCACTCCAACTGGGCAGCCAGCTTAGAGAGCAGACCGCCCATGACCCCGTGGTGGTGAGCACACCCAGGAAGGCCCACGTCAGACCGAGGACCTCCCACCAGTCTCCACTGTCTGTCCTGAGCAAGGGGCCAGCTTGCTGGCCAGCTGGTCTGTTCCAGGCACAGGGCCTGCTCCACACCGGGACGGGAACGTGGGTCGCCCGGCTCAGAACTGCCCATCTGACCTGGGCATCTGCCCATCCGACCTGGGCATCTGCCTCTGCCCTCTCGCAGGCTTCCTACCACCACCAGAGGGCTGCCTGAGAGCTGCGAAGGCGACCAGCTGCCCAGGAGCTCTGAGGACCTACACAGGACGTGGTGCTGGCCTCCTGACATGGACCTGTCTTCAGAAATGCAAGCCCACTGACCTCGAGGGTGCCTGAGGGAGCGGTCGGCTTGGCGCTTTTAAAGCTCACAGTGGAAACGCGAGATGCTAACGTCTTTGCCTGCTCGTCAATGACTGCCTCATGTTGGAGAACACTGACCAACACATGAGAGGGAGACTGGAAATGGAGACGCTAAAGTCCTCCTCCTTTGCCTTTGGTGAATAAAGAGCACACTGTCCTCCTGTGTGACCTGCTGTGGTCACTTGTCCCTGTCCCTACGCTCCCTTCCTGCCCTCCCCGAGTGACTGGTAACCACAGTCCAACGCATCCACCAAGTGTAGGCAAGATTCCCACCACGGAGGCTGTCTGTGGACTGCTGTGGTCACGTGGGGCTGCTGGGCTCTCCCCTCTCCTCTCCTCCCTCTCTGGACAGACGCAGGGAGCCAGCATGACTGGGCTCTGGACTCCAGCGCATTCACCTGGTGGCACAGTGGCTGGTCCCTACCTGTGATTGCACGTTGGCTCCAACCTGGGCCCCTTGGTAAGAATCCCCATTGAGTGACTGCACGCTCATGAACAAATCTCCAGAGTTTGACATGTTAAAAGAACTGGAAGAACCTGGAAAGGAAAGAGTGAGGCACCTGAATGACAGACAGGAGAAGGCCCCCGCACTGACGGCCAGGAGCGAGAGCGGCATGCAAAGCCCCCAATACCACCAAACAGAAGTGCGTCCAGAGCCCGGTTAGTAGCAGGAGAAACAGCAGGTCACACGGGCACGCGGTCGGTGTTAGGGAAGCACACCTCACTCAGGGCTCGGCAGCGCTGCCGCCTCCCAGCCACCTCCAGCAGGGAGAGGAGACCCGTCCTCTCACCCGGCCGGCTGCGAGCCCGTCCCCTGCCTCCGTCGTCCTCAGGCGGCCCAGGTGGAGAACCCACATGGCAGGCAGCACCAGGGAGGACGGGCCCCGGGGCAGTCACACTGTGGCCCTGGGYGGGTCTGTTGTTATTCCTGACTTCTAGGAGGAAGGCGGCCAGCACCCCAGAGGGTCGTGAGCTCAGGGGCCTGTGGGACGGTCTGCCTTCCCCACAACCTGCCAGAGCTGAGGAGGGCAAGAGGGTGACAGGCCAGGAAGTCAAGCATGCACAAAGTCAGAGGCGCTGCAGGTGACGCCATCCAAGATCATAGAGTGGCTTGAGAAAGGGCAGCGGCCAGGTTTCCACCTCCCAGAGACGGAGGCTCCTCCAAGACGTGGCCTTTAGGTCCATCCTGGACTCCCTGGACCCCGCTGGCTCCAGAGTGGCAAACCTAGCCCAACCTCAGCTCAACGCAAGGGCTGGCAGAAGCTGAATATTATCCCGAAGTTGCTGTGCAGCTCAGCACGTTAGGAAAGAAAGCTCAGCGTGCAAGGTGGGGTTAAGACACACGTTAGCCTGAAGAGGAGAGACCCCAGGGACCCAGGTCAGCCACGCTGCACTGCCTTGCTACCCCAGGGCTCGGGCCCTGCGCTCTGGCCCTCCTCTAGGACAGCCCCCTCAGTGAGGACCCGTGCCTCACGGTGTGTGCTTCAGCTCTGCAGCCACTCCCTCCTTTCCCAGGATGGCCCTGGGCTCTGCTGCAGAGCCACACTGCCCGCAGGAGGGCTGCAGCCGAGCAGGAGGCTTCTCCCTGCAGAAGGACCACTAAGCTCTCTGGTCTGAACTGTGCCACTAGGCCATCTGCTCGACACCCACAGCACCATGACACTTCAAAAGCAAGAGCCACTTAGGGGAACTAGATGGCTGACAAACTGTCTGCCTGCCAGGAACTAGCTGTTTACTACTAGACGGATCCTCCACCTAGGTATCGGCAGCTCCTGCTGTCCCAAGGAAGAGGAGATGCTTTCTCCAGGGCCGGGGTGCGTCAGGCATCAACCCCAGAACTGTGGCGTCTCCACAGCTCTGCACCAGTCCCACCTCCTCTGGCATGTTTGTTAGCTCATCTAAAAGGAATTAGAAAGTTGGGGCTTAGTAAACAGCCCTAAGGACCGACCAGGTGTGGCTCATATGTGTAACTTCCTCCATTAATATGATCGAACCTTTGCAAGTACCCTCCCCCGCCTACGAGGAAGCACCCTGCAGCATGGGTCCACTCCTGTGTTAAGTCCTACAACACCTAGGACTCTAGTCACCTCCCCCTGAAGTCTGTCACCTCAGAGATGGAGCTTGCACCCTAGACGCCATTGCAGTGATTGTCACTCTACCTGCTCACACTTGGAACCGAGAACCAAGAACTGTGACCACTCCACCAGACTGCTCACTCCCAGCCAGAAGGCTGCCGATGTGACGCCYTGCCCCGGCCCTGAGGTGCCCGGGCACTTGTCTCCCCGGAGCCAGCACACAGGCTGGATGCCTGGCTGGTGGTTTGTTGGAAATCAGCACAACCCTGAGAGATGGGAGCCCCCACAGGGCTGCACCGTGCCAAGTGACAGGGCATCCACGGGCCTTGAAGGCAGGGCAGACACCACTTACAAGACACACACCGCAATCGTCACAGATGATCTAAAAAATATCTGTGCATAGATAAATGGTAAAGATGCCTGGCTGCCTGATGTGCACAGAGGTAAATATGCGCATATAAACGCCCTCCATGTCCGAGTGCGTCTRTGTCAGAGCGTAATTGCAGAGACGGCCCGGCGCTCTCTGCTGTGCTGGTTCAGCACTTCAGTGTCTCTGAACGCCGTGGACAACACCATCATGGCTCCCGACTCTCCGATAAGCACCTAGGGCAGCAGCTGCATTGAAGGAGGAGGCTGTGCAGCTAATACCTCAGCCAGGCAGAAGTCCACCTGTAAACTAGGAGTGAAGGCAAGTGCTCGGTGCCCAGCACTGGGGTCGGAAGGAGCCTGTTACATAGTGGATCACCCCCGAGAGGCACACGGTCCCAGTGAGAGTGTGGGCTCCGGTGGAGAGGCTGTGGGGATCTCAGGGGGCTGATGCTGGCTGACGGGTTTGCTGGGATCCTTTGGGAGCCTTACCTGCAGGGGGCTGTGGGGTGATCAGCAATTCATACGAGCACATGGTAAGATGTGCTGTCAGGTAGAACTTTCTGCATTTGGTGTAGGAATGCAGGCGAGTGGCTCATTTAAACTGCCATATTTGGACATGTACAGAGAGATATATCAGCTCTCAACTACAAGGAGGACAGACAGTGGGTGGCCCAGGACCCTAACACATTTGCTGGGGCACACACATGATCTGGAGTCATTAATATCCATTTCCTAAAGCAATTTCCCCAAGGTTGCATTTCTTCCCTAAAAACCCTTTAGGAGACTTGAGTTTGTTCAAGAAATAATGATGGCAACAACAAAGTAAAAAACTTGTTGACTTCATAATTCAAACACACAAAAAGGAATAATAGTAACCAGAGCCCCACAGCTAGGGCAGCGCCGTGGACCCGGCACTGCCGACGTTCGGCGTGTCTCTGCGGGACGGGGGGCGTCCTCCCACCTCTGCACGTGGAAGCCCGGAAGGCGCTCCCTGCAGAGCGCTGACAACACGGGTCTCCTGGGGTGCACATGTGCTCCCCGTGGAGAACCAATGACCCAGAAGGAACCCGGGCTGCTCTTCCTCTAAAGAGACTCAAAAGAGCTTCAAAATATCAGCTCAGCACTTCTCACTGATTTCAGGGAAGCGGCTGTGTGGGAAACAGGGCCTCAGCGCTGTCGTGGGGAGTCCAGGGTCAGGTGGACGTGTGGTTGTCTGCACCCCCACCCTCCTCCCTCCGTGTCGGCTTGATTGTGTCTCACTCTTGCTCCCAAGGTGGGGCTCTAGATGTCTGAGGGTCTCAACTCAGCCTTCATGATCTCATCGATAGCAGGACATGCAGAACACAGCACTCTAGGTCTCTGCAGAAGAGGGAAGGACCAGGGTTTTACACCTGCTCCAACAGGTGCCCATCTGTGCCTTCTTGCTGTGTACACTCTACAGCACACGGATCACCTAGACCTTGCTGGCCACACCCAGGTCCTCTCCTCAGTGACGTGGATGAAGTAGTTTGAAGAGAAGGTGGCAAACGGAGACACCTAGAGGCCCTGAGCGCTGCTCCCCACGCAGCCCTGGGGCAGGGAGGACTCTACCTGCAGGAGGCGTGAGTACCCTGGTGATGCTTCTGGACAAAGGCCTGCTCCTGCGTCCCTAGGCTGCAGAGCGCTACCTTCATGCTATCCTGGTGTCTTATTACACGCCAACCCTTCTCTTCCCGCCATCTCTCCTTTAAATGCCCGAGAAGCAAGTGCTTGGCCTGCTGGACACCTGCCCACCACTTGGAGCGTGGCTCCCGTCTTTCTGGGCAGGGGTTTGGGTTGTGTTAGGAGCAGAAGGAAACGCCCACTGACCGCTGTTCCTGAGAAGGCATCTATCTCTCCACCCGCCTGCTGCTGCACATAGAGAAGGGGGTTTCCTCAGTCTCTGCTTTAGAAGGAGCCCTGTGAGGGGCTCCCCTGCACCCTAGAACCAACAACCTGGGCACGACTGGAAGGCTCAGCTCAGACTTTCCACAGTAACTGACTCTGTGCTCAGAGCAGTCACATGAACTTTAAGCCACCAGAGAAATTCCTTTGAAAGCTGTAATCACAGACTGCCACTCCGTGAGAGGCCAYGTGATTCTTAAACACAGAGTAGGGTGTTAAAATGCTTACTTTTCTCTTTTCTAAGGGCTTCAGGAAAGAACAAATAGTTAAGGATTTAGTAATGAAGGGAGTCCACAGGGCCCTTCTAGGACTAGTCATAAATCATGCTGAGCCATCTGCGATGCAGATCTATCAGGGCCGGGAAGACTCGTTCTGATGTCTGCTTTGCATTGTGATAACCTTTGTGAGAGTGCTGAGTGCATTTTTGCTAATGTGGACAGAATTGCCTTCTTCCAAAGAGTCCAGTAAAAATGTCTGTCCAGCAGCACAGCTCGGCCTGTGTGGCTGGGTCTGAAATGCGTGATGGCTGACCAGACAGGGAAGAAGGAAACTCTCCAGCCTGGAGCATGCTCCTCGCAGTGGACCAGGCTGCAGGGCTGCACCAAGGCTCACCACAGCCTTCTGCAAAGCCCAGGCACTCCTCGGCTCCTGGACACAGTTCCTTCTAAACAGAAGGTGGTGGTGGCACAGCCACTGGCCTGGGAAGCCTAGTGGTGACAAAATAGCGTATCTAGATGCTCACAGGAGGTATTACTGTGTGGAGACTTATGTGACTCCAACAGGCAGGAAGGGGACCCATCGTAGTGGACAAACAAGGTCTGGGTCAAAGACACCACTTCCTCTAAGAGTTAGATGGGAGGTTTTATTCCACATCATGGTGATGTGTATTTAAATTTGTTATTCACCCTCATTCTATTGTCATCAGCTTATTGGATGTGACTCACAGCCAATCCATGCCTTGTGTTCACTAAGGGGAAGGGCAGAACCTGATACCAAGCATCTAACAAGGGACCGAGTCTGTTCCTCCCCCACACACAGTCACCAGCATGCTTCCAGAGTACACAGCCACAGGGTCGTGTTTTATGCATTTCTGACTTTTTGCACCGTGGAAATTCAGTACTCATGGCTTGAAGCACACTCAGAAATACCTAAGCTCAGGAATTGGTGACACTATGCACAGTCACCAAAATAAAGTGCACAGCACAGCATGTGACACTGAAACTTGGAAACTGGCATAGGAATAATTTGAATTAGCAACTGGTAATTTTCTTTGCAGTTTGCATAAAGAAAACCAACAAAATAAAACAATAAAGGATAACAGCTATAAACATTGTATAGAAATAACTGTAACCTGACTTGCAGATCAGAATGTGCCACAGAGTGAGCATCCTGCAGAGCGGCACGCCAGCCAGGGCCCAGGCGCTACCTGGGGGACAGCAAGACAGACAAGGCTGAACCCTGAAGAGACCTGAGGATGGAGCCCCCTGGGACCATGGTGAAGCCTTGAGTCTATCTTATTTACTGGAATCTCTGGACTTCAAGGTCTCCTCAAGACCAGACAGCGCATCTGTCTCCAGCACACACGTCAATGCAAACCTCAGACGGACTCAACTGCACACAGCACCCTGCTCCTTCCAGGTGAAAGCAACTCCCCAAAGTGGCACCAACAACAAAAAGAACAGTTAGATCCACAAGTCAGCCCATCCTGAACCAAGAACCTAAAGAGTTCTTTCATTCCCCTATCTGTGGGGAAGGGGAAGGAGCCGGGGTCAGGGGACACAGAGTGAGGGAGGGCAGGGGGCAGGTGGACAGGGTCACAGCCTGATATGTGCATGTTGGGGATTCTCTTGGAACCCATCAATCTGCACAGTTAGTGGGATCGAAAGCTTATTTTAAAAGGACATTTTAGGACCCGTTAGGTATATCTGAACCGGCCTCCGTATCCGACATTAACAGCATGTCAGCGTAGGATTGGGGTCCTGGTGATGTGCTCTTGGTTTTGTAAGAAAGCATCTTGTTCTCGGGTGATCCCGCTGGTGCTTTAGAGGCCTCGGGCCACGGTGCCTGCCACTTTCACGTGATGCCCGCAGGTCGTGCTACGTCTCACAGAGGAAGATTTAAGGAGGAGCCCGAGAGCTGTCAATTGTGAAATATAGCCAAACGCATATACAGATTCAACTTTTCTGTAGAATTTGAAAGTTTTTAAAATAGAATGCTAGGGAGAAGGTTATTTTAATGAAGCAAAGAGGAATAAAATTCTACCACAACCCGTGAAGAAAGAAATGAGTGAATCAACTATCAGGCCCACTTCATGGTGCGCTTTTAATTTCAACAGCAATAACAGCTCATGTTTGTGGAGTCCTTCATTTGTGCAAAATGCTTCTCACAGTCTCACTGAATTTTCAAAATCACACCTTGATATGGAATAAGTTCGAGATTTCCCAGTGTGGTCTCGGGAGGGGATGACGGCTGGAAGGGAGGGTGGAGCTGTCTAGAACACGAGTTTTTCACCTAGGCTGTTGGAAAATCTTACCAATGAACGTGAGGGACTATTAAATTCTTCATTTAAACAAGAAAAAGAAAAGAAACAGAAATAAGACAAAAACAGAAACAAAACCCAAACCCAACATAGAAAATGAGTGTAAGATGGAGACTGAGCCCCCAGATCAAAGGAAGCACTGACCAGCGGAGTTGGGGGTGGAGGGCGAGTTAGCTTGGCTTCCGTGGGCTGACACGTTGGTGGCAGTAACCGCCGTTTTGGCAGCGTAGATATTGGCTTCCTCTTGAAATTTACCTATGTTCTTCTTGTACCGGATTCTCTTATTTCCAAACCAGTTTGATACCTGGAGCGATTTAAGAGAAGTCACAAAGTTAATGTCTCATCCTTCAGAAGCTCTGCAGAGGAAGGAGGGGCGTATTGACACACAGAACGAGGGTCGTAGGCTGCAGCATCAGTTGGGGGATCTGAATAAGGGCTCAGAGGAGCCACCTCACAAAAGATCCCCTTGTTAAGGCAACTGAAATTTCGCAAAACCATTGATGGAAGTTGTTGTACAGAGAATCTGCTCATTTAAGCTAGGACTCTTTTAGCTTAGGGTAAGCATATTAAATTTGTTTACCTCCCAATTTAGGACAATAAAGTCAATGCATCAGGAGGAATGCCAGTTTCTTATCAATGCCAAGCTGACTTCGCACAATCAAAACCCAAAGACCTTTAAATAACCACGTCAGTCTCCATCGACAGACGGGTGTTTCCATGCACAGGTTGGTTTCAATGGCTTGGAAGTTAAATAGGTCTAATGTGGACTTAGATTCTTAGCTGTCATGTGCTGCCCCCGAGGATCCCCATAACCCAACCCAGCACATTTCACTGGGTGCTTCCTGCAAAGCTTGGTGGTGGCTACACAAGAGACATGGAAGCCCACAGCTGATTCCTGTGAATTCCAGGCTTCAATGGCAGATGCCAAGAAACACCACAAACCCAACTCACTTTCGTTTGTTGGTCTGCCCCTCAGTGTTCTCCCTGCAGCGTTCCTGGCCTGGTTGGGGGCCTCTGCCCACTTGCACCAAGACCTCTTTCAGGCTCAAATGGAGACTCAGCGGCAGCTAAAGTTCACCCCAACCCCTGCTAGGGAGGTAAGCGCCAAACCCCACATTTCAGATGAGATCTTGAACTAAGATGTGGTGCTCGTGTGTAATTAGAAAACAAAMCACAATTTGGTGAGGGGAGGTGAATCGGTCACACATGGAGCCCAGCTTACATGTGATTGATATTCAGCCCCTGAACAACGGCAGACAAAGAAAATTTGTGCAAAGTCGTATTTGCTTTCTAAATGCATCCACAAAGGTAAAACGTGGTGTCAGGTGGCCCCTGGAGGCCTGCACAGTTTAACCTAGAGCAGAAACTCCAAGTCTCTGCTCTAGAGATCAAATTGCACCACTGTGATACCAGCAGAGAGAGAAAGGATTTCACAACAAAGTGCCTGTTTCATTGTTGATGCAGGAAAAGAGTCACACTGGAGGAGGGGAGGGGCACCATCCACGCAGGGCCACTGCCGTCTAATGCCACCTTGATGTCACTTTTGCCACTTACGTGAATCAATCAGGGTCATCTTTTCCTTTTTTTAATTACTTATAAATAGGACAGGGAGGAAGCACAAAGGGAGGAAACTGGAAGAAAGGAAAAGATGAAGCAGGACTTTCCAGGGAGAAGGCCGGCCCAAGGTCCACGTCATCAGCTGTGGGTGAGAACAGGAGGAAGAGGGAGCAGGGACGTGCCATGGGAGTGACGCCCTCGTGACGGAGAAGGACAGGACCGGCAGGGACGTGGGTGTCAGTTCAGCACCATCTGCACTGCGACCCGGAAGGTCGAATGTCAAAGCTGCATTCATGTCCCATAGCCACGGATGGAGGCCGAGTGGGCGAGGGCCAGGGCTGCCCAGGTGGCCAGGGCTGCATAGGTAACCCGGCAGGACGGAGGCAAGTACAGATTTCCTCGGGAGAGTTGGATCTGAATCGTGAACGGGCCGAGATGGAAGACCCCGGGGGCAGAGCGATAGCCAGGAGGCAGATGAGGTGTAGCCTGGTGTCCTGGGAGAGAAGTCCCTTCCGGACACTTGAGCAGAGGCACGTTTGTGCTGGGTGTGCAGAGAGAGCTTTCACAGCCAAGTGCTCCGGAGAGCTGCGGAAACAGTCTGCTGCGGGGCTGGGGACTGAGGTTTCTCCCAGCCTGGGTGGTGCTGATGTGGCTCTATGTCCGTGCATGGAACACCTGGGTGAGAGGAGGCTGGCTGGGCTCCAGGGAGCGAGGTCCTGGGTGCACTTCAGGTGGACTTGGGTCTGTGAGCATGCTTTGGCTTTGGGTCATGGGAGCAATCAATAGCTCTTAGCAGATTGCCGAAGAACCGGTGTCAAAAAGAGGTCAAGGGCCCTTGGGTAGGGCTTGTAGAGCTTCCAGTGAAACAGAGAACAAACAGTTCCTGAGCAGGTCGGGAGCGGGCCCTCCAAGAAGAGCGAGTGACCAGGAGGGAGGAGGACCCAGTAGAACGGCAGGGAGGAGGGTGCTGGCCAGAAACAACAGAGGAGGCAGTGAGTCCCCTGGGCTTGGGGACTGGGGGCCAGTCCGACACACCACGTCATCCAACCAACCCTAACTGACAGAGGGCTCAGCTAAGACCCCAGAGGGAAGAGTGGACCCCGAGAGTCCCCCAGTCGATGGAGCTGGAGATGGGCTCTTGCCTCGTGGTCTTTTGTGAAGCGCGCACCATGGTGCCTCCCAGCAGGGCTGTTGGCACATGCAGACAGCTGGGCTGCTGTGGGAGGGACAGGTGTGACAAGGAAGGAACAGCAGGCCGGCCCTGGGGTGGCGAGGAGAGAGAAGGGCAGCGGAGCACGAGACATGTCCATGAGCACTGCACTGCACCGAGTCTCACCACGAAGGCCGGGTCTCTGCAGATCTCCCACAGACCAGCTGGGAACCATCCCTTTCACTGTGTGGGGGAGCTTGCAATTCTGCACCCCAGACCTGGACGTCACGCACAGGGCCGTTCAATCCTTCTGTAGCAGGAGAAGAGGCCACGACTGAACTTCTCTGATTTTCCAATGAAGGTGCTTCATCCCGGAAGCCCTCACTCAGCAGACTGCAGCCAATAGCAGGAAAGCGCTTGTGCTTGGCAAACCAGGGTCTAGATCTGGACCAGAAGGCTGCAGCCCTCGGAAAACACTAGGCCACGTGAGTGTGGTCCCCACTCCAGCTTTCCCAGAACTGCTGAGGCCGGAGACGACCTTTGTCGGAGGGCTCTCACCACAGCAGCACCCAGCGCGGGTGGGGCCTCGGCAGTCCTACCCTTCCAAGCCCCTCTCCTGGGCTCTGGTTCTGAATGGCCTGTTGCTCAGCTGCACACGCATGGGCTGGCGGGCCCAGCCCCYGTGGGGAGCAGTGGAAGCCGGGGATTTGGGCCAAGGAGCACCCACTCTCGGCAACAAGTGACACGTGACGCGTCTGCCCCAGTGGCCTTCCCCGCTCTCTCCCATCCTGCTCCTGATGGAGATACATTTCCTTCTCTTGTGACTGACAGAATCCTGAGGAAGATTCTCTGGGAGATTTCAGAGCTATCGCGCTGCTCGCCATGAGATGGGAATTGGTTGATATTTGAGGTTCAGACTGAAGGAGGAGATTGGGTGGACCCTCCGGGGAAGGTAAAGGAAACACAGAGTGTGTGTCCTGTGTATCCAGATCCAGGTCCACTGCGTCTCCCACCTGGCTACCTCACAGTGACATTGGGGACTCCAGGCCTAACAGGGTGACATGAGGTGCCTTCCCAAGTCAGAGGCACTCGTGACATGTGCAACCACCCAGTGTGGTGGTGACGGAATAGAGGCCTTCAGTCCACAGCTGTGGGCTCAGCACAGCGGGGAGGACACTTCGGTCCTTTGCATCGAATGGCTACTTGATGACCAGTTTCATTCCTGGGTTGGCGGAGGAGGCGTGACCCAGAGCTCCCAGGGGTGAGGACCTCCCTCTGCAGTGTAGACCTCAGCAGGTCACAGGGGAGACCCAGAGCTCCCGGGGGTGAGGACCTCCCTCTGCAGTGTAGACC